GTCTATTAGTCACTGTGTATAGCAGTGTACCTCCCTCTATTATCAGAATGTGTCAGTTTTCTCTCTACCAGTCACTGTGTATAACAGTGTACCTCCCTCTATTATCAGAATGTGTCAGTTTTCTGTCTACCAGTCACTGTGCATAACAGTGTACCCCCTCTTTATCAAAATGTGTCAGTTTTCTGTCTACTAGTCACTGTGTATAATAGTGTACCTCCTTCTATTATCAGAATGTGTCAGTTTTCCATCTACCAGTCAGTGTATAACAGTGTACCTCCCTCTATTATCAAAATGTGTCAGTTTTCCATCTACCAGTCAGTGTATAACAGTGTACCTCCCTCTATTATCAAAATGTGTCAGTTTTCCATCTACCAGTCACTGTGTATAACAGTGTACCTCCCTCTATTATCAGAATGTGTCAGTTTTCTGTCTACCAGTCACTGTGCATAACAGTGTACCCCCTCTATTATCAGAATGTGTCAGTTTTCTGTCTACCAGTCACTGTGCATAACAGTGAACCTCCCTCTATTATCAGAATGTGTCAGTTTTCCATCTACCAGTCACTGTGTATAACAGTGTACCTCCCTCTATATTGCCAAAACTAAGATAATCATTTGTACACATTTCATATATCTATTATACAGTTTAATTAGATTAATATCTAATGCATTATTTTAGTTTCATTTTGAGTTTACTTACTGAGAAAGTTTTATTTTATTACAAGTTGCAGCTTTTTACAGTAAGGAAGATTAGTTTTAAGAACAGGTACAACGTTTCAATCATCAAATATTTAAAACTTGTTTACTTGTGAGTGATCGAAAAACATTGTTACTGTTATAAAAAATAATATTCTTTACTGTAAAAGCTTTAACTTGTAATAAAAAAAACTTGTAGTTAATATCTATGCTGAATTTACCCTCTGCTTGTTTTTACTTTATCTTTAGAGGTGCCTGTATCTTTTGTAATTTCCTTAAACACGTGTGTTTCTTTACATTTCATACTTTATCACATTCAATGGAATTATGTAAATCAACCCCAACTGTACATGCATTTTATCAGACGATTTCAAGATACCTTATCTTGATGATGTTGTCAAAAGAGCGTAGTTCAGACCAAAAATTCACAAACTACACATACTTGTCTATGTTTTTTACTTAAGATAAAAACAATCTCAAAATATTTCACTTCTTTTATTGAACTTTATGTTTACAAAGACTTATACACCTATCTGCTTACACACTTTCTGATAATGTCAACCAAAATCCACATTGCTGTGTTATTATAAAAGTAAAGTAAGATAGATTTAATTATTTTTTGTTTCTATTTCGTATTCTCTTCCATACTGGTAGTCTAGACATAGTTTGTTACAGGATGAAAGGAAAAAAAAAAAAAATAGTTTTTACCACACAATTATCTTACATTAACCTGACCAGTTGTTACTTTTTGTCATCTTTGTCTTCCTTTTTTGATTTCTTTTGATCACTTTGAGTTAGTGTTCCCATCGCACTGCGAATAGCATCACTTTGTGGATCAACGCCTGGCAAATTCTCAAGAACACTCTGAAGAAACTCAGGATCATTCATAACTTCTGAGTAATCTTCCTCCTCCTACAGAATAATTTAATTGTTGAGATAAAGTTACTGACAAGGAAGTTTTTGAAACATGATGATAAGTGTACACTATTCTGACTTTTAAAATATTAAGCTTTACTTGCTTTAATACATTTATTTACTCAAGTTATAACTCAAACAAATTTAATTACTTTAAATATATAATATCCTCATACTAAAGTGGTAGATATGAAAAACCAAATGTTAATATATTTTCTCTAAATCTTTAAATGCAAAAAACATGGTACTTTATCAGGACACATCCAGCTGATAAAGAAAATAAAATGTGATACCATGTACATCTTTCAAATTACTACAAATCAACAGAACTTAGTAAAAAAAAATATATAGACCTAGTACTTGCTACTAATAGATTTTGTTGAAAAAGTGTTAGAGCAAGGTGGAAATATCCCCTTTCCTAATACACTTTTTCAACAGAGTAAAACTAATAAACAGTGATTACAAGAGCAGACCTAAACAATGATATAGAAGACCTAAATAAACATGGTTGTCAGGTTATATAAAGACTGTATTCCTTACAGTAGGTGTCTGTGACTTGTTGGCGATAAATGTCAACAATAAACAAGCAGCACACAATCCATTTCTTTTAAAATAATAAGATTCAAAACAAGTCAAACGTACGTACAAAAATTCTTTACACTATTGGTTATCACATTTGTATCCAGAGCTTTAAATAAATGTCTCTCTTTTTCTTTTGTCAAATCCACACAGGTGGGTTCAATTACTTTAGAAACCCTTTGACAAGACAAATGATTCTCCTCTATTTCTGTTATTACAATACAAGCTGTGAAACTCACTTTACAAATCACCCACTTTGGCTAATTCACACACAGTTTAATCTGACTTTTACTTTCACTAACTTGGTCACCTACATATGTATTGCCCAACTGAGGCCTAGAAATTTCTACAAACTATGAGACATTGTGATGTAAAAATACTCACTTGAAGCAATGAGAAAATTCAGAAGGTTCAAGTAAGATTATACCAAGTCACAACAATTGAACTACACAACAAATGATTCATAAACAGTTACATAAGTAAATCTGCCATAACTATTGCTTTTAAAATAATTAACTTTTAACACTTGTTATGAAAACTAAATAATCATTAACTATTAAATCACTAAATAATAACTTAAATTGAACAGTCTTGTATATCGAACAGTAGTAATATGAGTAAGCAATGATCAATTGCTTCAAAAATACATTTTCACTAAAACTGGAAATACGCATGATCTTACTTTATAATTTCCCTAGCATTCTACGTAATTCTTCAAAGCCATTTCTTCCATTAAACAAGACTAGAACAGGTGTTCAGCTACTTGTATTCTTTTTATTCTTCAAAACATTTTCTTAATTTAGAGATACTTTAGCAAATCAAAGTTATTTTTAAACTATCCAACTAGAAAGCATTTAGTTTTTATTGTAATGTGTGAATAAATATGGGATAAAAAATTTAATTATAGAGTTGTTTTTATTGTTAAGCACAAAGTTACACAACAACTACTGGAAATCTGACTTACTGCTGAGCCACCAGAGGCATTTGTTGTTGTTGATAAAATACAATATTGCTTACTTTTTTTGGTTGACCATCACTCGTTTCCATTGGTTCTTCTTTAATTTCTGTATTCTTGCTTTTCTTGCTGTGCTCTCCACCTTCACCTACATGATAAATATGATCTTTCAATACATAAGAACATACAGAAGTATGTCAAGCATTAGTTCACTTAAGGCAGTGATTCTCGACCAGGGGTAAATTTACCCCTTGGGGGTAAATAATTGATGTACCTGATGATTGAATAATAATTCAATTAAATTTCATTTTGTAAAATGTGTGTGTTTAGAGAGAGTACTAAGAATGTATGTGTGTGCTCGCATGCATGCGTGAGGGAGGAAGGGAGAGTGTCAGTCAATCCTGTTCAGTCACTATACTAATTCATAATTATTTCTTTTCAGATTTTGTCATGTCCAAGAAACGTACATACCTGGATTCATATGTACAATATGGTTTTGACTTCATTGTTGTGGATGGTGTGGAGAAGCCTCAGTGTCTGCTGTGCTCAAAACTTCTTGGAAATGGGTCATTGAAACCTTCAATATTGAAACAGCATCTGGAAGCTACACATCCTGCCCATGCATCTGATGACCGTGCTACATTTGAGGCAAAGAGAGCTAGGTTTAGGGCTGCAGGAACACTGCCCAAACTTGGCTTCGTATCTGAGAAG